ATCAGAATGGCAAAAGCTTTGCAATAACCACTGTTACTCAAACTCCTTTCCCAACAAGCATTTCGACCTCGAGACCGTTATGGAAGCCGATGTCCGACCGATCACTGTTTCAGCTGAAAATTCATTCGTGGGGTTCTTCAGCCCGGAGAAATTCAACTGCTTGTCGGAAGCAATGTCGTTCGAGCAAATATGGAATGAGATCAATACTACTAAAACTTGTCCAAATTACGTAACGAGAGTTTACATCGTGAGTTGGAACGATCATTTCTTCGTGTTTAAGATGGAAGAGGATGCTTGTTACATTGTTGATTCGCTGGGGGAACGACTGTTCGAGGGGTGTAATCAAGCCTACATCTTGAAGTTCGATAGCTCGAGTTTGATGTACGAGAGCAAAGAGAAAGGAGAGGTCGGGGAATTGGTTTGCAAGGGAAAAGAGTGCTGCAGAGAGTTTTTTGAAAGGTTTCTTGCGGCCATAACCATTGAAGAGCTGGAAGAAGAGCAGGAGAAGCAGAGTAGCTGTAATTTTATACCCCATCAGAGGCTGCAGATTGACTTCCATTTTAGTAGCCCTGTTGTTTCATCCTTGTCAACTTCCCCTTGCTCTATTTTCTCTGATCAAGACTTTGTATCATAATTCACAACCCCAAAACTCCAATCCTTTTATGTATACAGTGTAAAGCTTCTCCCAGATTTCGCTCATTATGCAAATAAAACTCCGATTTGCTTTCTTTAGGTCATGCATACGCGTTTTAAAACTTTGAGGGGAAGTTTAGAAGGAGAACCCAAAGAGAACACTATTTGCTAATTAGCGATGGGCTTGGGCTGCTATAAATGGTATCAAAGTCATACATCATGCGGTGTGCCAGCAAGGACATTGGTCTCCAAGGGAGGTGGATTTTGAGATCCCACGTTGGTTGGAGAGGGGAACACAAAGTATTCCTTATAAGGGTATGAAAACCTCTCCCTAGTAGACGTGTTTTAATACCAAAAGGGAAAGTCCAAATAGAATAATATATGCTAGCTAGCTAGCGGTGGGCTTGAGCTGTTACAAATGGTATCAAAGTCATACACCAAGCAATGTGTCAGCGAGAACACTGAGCCTTCAAAGGGAGGTGATTGTGAGATCTCACATCGGTTAAAAAGATGAACAAAGCATTCCTTATAAGGGTATGAAAACCTCTCTCTAGTAGACGTGTTTTAAAATCATAAGGAAAAGCCCAAATAGAACAATATCTACTAGCTAGTGGTGGACTTGAACTATTACAAATGGTATCAAAGTCATACACCAAGCAGTGTGCTCGCTGAGCCCCAAAAGAGAAGTGGATTATGAGATCTCATATTGGTTGGAGAGAGGAACAAAACATTCCTTACAAGGGTGTGGAAACTCCCCCTAGTATACGTGTTTTAAAACCAGAAGAGAAAGCCCAAATAGGACAATATATGCTAGCTAGCAGTGAGCTTGAACGGTTACAAATGGTATCAAAGTCATACACCAAGCAGTGTGTCAACGAGGACACTGAGCCCCCAAAGAGAGGTGAATTGTGAGATCTCATATCAATTGGATAGAGGAACACAACATTCCTTATACGGGTGTGGAAACCTCTCCCTTGAGGGAACCCCAAAAAGGACAATATCTACTAGCAACGGGGTGTTACGAGCAAAAAGTGCGGAATAATGACGGGTGGGAAAGGGGAAGAATGAGGCATGTAATGGAAAATGAGTCGTAGCATCATCATGTTGATGAAATGTGTTTGAATCTCTGTTTCTCTAAGCAACTTCCTGATATGAAAAAGCAAGTTTAACCAAAAGCAGCAAGCTTTGTGTACCTTAACAATGGATAAAACAAGAATTATCTATATGAGACCCCACAGAGAACTAATGTCACCACTCATTAAAAGTTGAACGCAGAGACTTCCATCCAGACATTCAATCATCAATTCATTCAGCCCTTTCCCAAAAAGAACAAAGATGATAAAGCAAAAGGAAAAAAAAAAAACAAAAGGACCCACAGAACCAAAGCATATGATATATCAGCTTGTTGCCTCAATGCCTCTCTGTCCCCCATTTCCACAGACAGTAACCTCACCCAGTTGCTTCTTTAGATGAACTCGTCCGCTCGGGGACGATTTGTGTCTGAGGAACTCGTCCGTTCGACCTTTCTTTCGTCTATAATTCTGTTGTTTCTTAACATTCACCCTATGAACCTACTGGAAGGAAGCTTTGGGAGCCAATTCAATGAATGACTACAATCTGCCTTTCGTTTTCTCATCCTCGTTTCTGCATCGAAACATTCATCTTCAAGATTTCGCCCGAATGTATTGTGCTCAGATAAGCCATATGAATTTACCATTGGAATCAAGGGAACCTTCCTTTCCATCACTGGTGAACAATCGTCTGATGAACTGCCCGAACCAAGAACACGAAGCGGAGTTTTGTTTCCATAGCTCCTCGAGCTTGACGCTGCGAGAGGACCCAACCGCAATGCTAGATCACATTTATCATCACATGGGCTTCCAGAGGCACTAGTTTTCTCCATAACAGGCGTAGAAATCGGAGTGATTTCGATGCCAGAATGTTGTCGTTCCCGAACACCATTGCCATAATATAGCGGATAAACAGAGAATTTGCTGGATGGAAGAGCATTTTCCATCAAACCATATGGAGTTAACAAAGCAGGGAACTTTGGAGAGGTGGAAGTATGAGCAGGAGGTAGAAGGCATTGGCATCTGAACCCTGAATGGCCTAAATCATTGGCCACAGGCTTAGCCAAACTCCAAAAGTAAGGGACACAAGGAGAATTCCTCACTGTCATTGGTGGAGGAGACAAGGCGGGAGAGTCCTGATTCCTAAAACTAAGATAGTTTGTAGAGATATTATTGCGTTGGCTCCTTGAAGCTTTTCTGGGTGTGCAGCCTAAATTGAGAGCAGCTGAAAGGGAAATGAAATTTACCAGAAGGGATCAAAACAAAGCCCCAAAAAAGAGGATTCAAAGGGGGACCAAAGAAGGAACATTTCAAGTACCTTCAATGCATGGGTGAAGGAAGTCTCCAGTTTCTGTACTCTCATCAAGGCGTATAATGGTATTAATGGCGTCCATTAAGCGGTCCCGAAGTGTACTAAAATCCATATATTCAGCCTATCCAAGGAGGGGAAAACTAAGGTTAAACAAAGAACATGGACTATAGAGAGTAATAGAGAAGGAGAAAACCTCATTAGTGGCTTTGGAGTACAAAATTTCTTCAGTTTTGAGAACAACAACAGGAAGGATTTCTTGCCATTCTTTGTTCTTCTTAGTGGAGGAATTATGAATCTCATGCACAACCCTAACATACACAGATCAGAAACAACCCAACAGAGAGATTCAAGCAAAAATGATGAGAAGAAGAGGAAGAAGGTAACCAGAGCAGACCTGAAAATCTCTTGAATCAGAGAACCTCTGATGGGTTGGTGCCTATCGCTGTGCCAAGCCCTTCTCACACACTCATAAGGCCTTGGACCTGGTCTTGGCATATCTTCAACACAACAACAGAGAAGATCCCCCAACAAAAATGCAGAAGAAAAGCGAGAAAATGGTACTGAAGATTGATTGATTCCCCGTTCTTCCTCCCGTTCTTGGTGTTGTTCCTCACCAAAGTGTGACAATTATTTGAAAGGAAGGGTTTTTTTGTATAAAAGTGATGAGTTTGGTGTGTCCCCCACTCATCCACATGCCTCCCTCCGCAAGCCCCATCAGTCTTTTCTTTTAATTTTTTATTTCTCTGTTTGGGGTTCTTGCGAGAGTCCTGACCATTCATGTAGGCATAGGGGGGGAATTCTGATGATAATGTCACCGTCGGTGGCCCAAACCAGCCCCAACCTCAATCCCATTTTGCAACAAATGTCCACCATAACTCCATTTTTCACAAACTTCCAAAAAATTATTTACACATTTTTCCATTCTTATCCTTCCCTTCCTTCTGCTCCTCTCCCTAACACCTCCCTTTTTCTCCTGCTTTCATGTCATTTACTCTCCCCTTTTCATTTATATATATATATATTAAATTTTTTTTCTTAATGGAAATGATTGTCTTAATCAAATTTTCAACTATGTTTTTTTTTTTAAAGATTATTAATTTAGTATTTTTCTAACGCTTAAACCATTTATAAATAAATTATTGCTGTCTCTTCCATTTAATGCTGCAATTGATTGTTGGTATAAGTCAATTCCCATAATTATTGCTATTTACTTTTATAATAATGTTTAGTATTCTTTAATTCTAATTTTTAGTAAATGATTTTGCATAAATTAATATTATTAATTAAAAGTTTTAACCGTTCAAACCCACCCTTACTCCTGCTAGTAGATAGTGTGATATCTCATAACAGTGAGGAGAGTGTGGAAACCACCCCGGCAGACATGTTTTAAAACAGTGAGGTTAATAATGATATGTAACGAGATAATGTAGACAACATCTCAAATAAGAAAATTTAAAATTCATGATCATGTAATTTGGAGTTTATAATAATTTTAAATATCTAATACCAATTAAGGTAGGAAGAAATTCACGTTGACGTGGCTCCCACCAGACGAGAAATGATTCAGTGCGGTATGCAACAACACAGCAACCCTTTTTAACCAATCATGCGTTTCCATTATACTTTATCCTGACTCATCCTTATCCGTCCGATCAGTTCTTCTGCATGCTTGCCACGTGTTCTCCAGCACTCGCCTCTTTTTCCGTGGACCAACTTTCCCTTGTTTTTTTTCCTGTTGAAAAGGAAATTTTATGTCAATTAAATCTCATATTAATTAAAAATTATACATTTTAATGAAAGGTTTTTTAATTAAATGAATTATTAATATAGAGATTTGTTGAGAAATATAAACCCGTTTATTTTATTTTAATCCGTGTCGGTTCTGCCTCAATCCTGCCCGTCCATTCTGTAATGTCGATGACTCAGATCTAACCTCCTCGCCGGTTTCAACGGCGCCGCTTCACATTTCCTCTGTAAAGGGCGGCTCTGTCTTGTCTGTGCGGCGCTGGGATTCTGGGATTCCGGCGGACTCTGAAAGCCATGCTGTTCCCTAACCCACTTTCTTTCATCATTGTGCTTCTTTGCCTACCTTTAGCCATTCTCTTTACCATCAACAGCCTCACCACCATTGATTCCGGCGACCCCTCCGATCACCCTTTTGTTTTGCCATTACAATCTCCCAAACTTCCGCCGGAGGATGACGATTTTCTCTTCCCACTTGCCGCCGGTGTCAACGCTACCCCATCGCCGAGTCACAAATTGGCCTTCATGTTTCTCACGAATTCCCCTCTCCCTTTTGCTCCTCTTTGGGAATTGTTCTTTGAAAACGTTCCACCCGATCTTTTTAATGTCTATATCCACGCCGATCCCGCCGGGGAATATGACCCTCCTTTCTCCGGCGTATTCGCCCACCGGGTTATCCCCTCCAAACCCACTAAGAGATTTTCCCCTTCTCTCGCCGCCGCTGCCCGCCGCCTTCTCGCTCATGCTCTGCTTCATGATTCTGCTAATTCCATGTTTGCCCTTTTATCCCCCTCCTGCATTCCTCTTCATTCCTTTAATTTCACTTACAGAACGCTAATTCGCTCCAAGAAGAGCTTCATCGAGATTCTCAGAAATGAAATCGGCGCGTTTGATAGATGGGCGGTACGTGGCCCGGATGTGATGCTTCCGGTGGTTAAATTGGCGGATTTTCGAATTGGGTCGCAGTTTTGGGTCCTGACACGGCGGCACGCGCGGTTAGTGGTGAGAGATCAGAGGGTTTGGTCGAAATTCAAGCTGCCTTGTGTACGATGGTACATATGTTACCCGGAGGAGAACTATTTTCCGACCTTACTAAACATGTGGGATCGGAGAGGGGTTGTGCCGGCCACACTTACACACGTGGACTGGAACGGGAGCTTAGACGGCCACCCCCGTACCTACGAGGCATCTGAGGTGGGACAAGACCTGATACGCGAATTGAGAATGGCCCGGCCGAGATACGGCGACGGTGGAATGAGAATTAGAATGAAAAGTAGGCAAAGAGGCGGCGGCGGCCGGAATTGGCCGGTGGGTAAATCTCAGGGGGAGCACCCGTTCTTGTTTGCAAGGAAATTCTCGGCGGAGTCGCTCCAGCCATTGATGAACATATCCATGGACTTCATATTAAGAGATTGATGGAAGTGTAATACAGAGAAACACAGGGTTATATAAAGCTTATTGTATATTGTTCAAATGTCTTGTCGGTTGAAACAGAGGAATAGACAGACATGTACGAGGAAAAGTGAAGCGAAGAGAGGTGGAGTGAGATAGGCTCATGGCCGATATTTCAAAATTTCAAATGTCTCAAGTAATATAATACTCAAGTTCAATTGCGTATCAAAATTTTACGTTCTAAAGAAAATTAAAGGTTAACAAATATTAAAAAAATTTACTTGTTTTTGAGTTTTGAAGAATAAATTTCATATCTGTACTCTGTTTTAGCCGACTTTTAACCTCACCATAAGACATTTTACGTTATCCTCACAATCCACCTTCTATAGAGGCTAGTGTCTTCGCTAGCATACTGCTTGTTGTCTGGGCTCAATCCACCTTATTTAGGGGCCAACATCCTCATCCACCTCTTTCAGACGCCAGCATCCTCACAAGTATACTGCTTGGTGTCTGGCTCAATCCACCTCTTTTAGGAGCCAGCGTCCTCACTAGCATACCACCTGGTGTTTGGAGATCTCACAATCCACCTCCTTTAGAGGCCAACATTCTCGCTAGCATACTGTCCAGTGTCTAGCTCAATCCACCTCCTTTAGGGGCCAGCGTCTTCACTAGCATACTGCCTGGTGTCTAACTCAATCCACCTCATTTAGGGGCCAGCGTCCTCACTGGCATATCGTCTGGTGTCTGGCTCTGTACCATTAAGTCACATCGATGGGAGAAGGGAAAGAGTGTCACTAGCATACCGCTTGATGTCTGGCTCTGTACCATTAGATCACGTCGATGGGAGAAGGGAAAGAGTGTCACTAGCATACCGCTTGATGTCTGGCTCTGTACCATTAGATCACATCGATTGGAGAAGGGAAAGAGTGTCACTAGCATACCGGCTGGCTCTGTACCACTAGGTCACATCGATTGGAGAAGGGAGTGTCACTAGCCTACCGTCTGGTGTCTGGCTCTAGAAAAGAGTGTAGAAACCTCTCTCCAACATAAACGCTTTAAAATCATGAGACTGACAACGATACGTAAAAGATCAAAATGAACAATATCTATTAAAGTGGACGAACATTGGTTAATCTTAAATTTATTCATTTTTTTACTTCGTTATTTGGAAGAAAAAAACTAAGAAGAAAATAATGGTTCTCAAATCCCAAATAACTTATTATATAGAATAATTTCGACCACATAGCTCCACACTTTTGTAGTAACGACAATATTTCTAAACAATTGATGCTATTAATATATATTATATATGATTACATGTGGAATATGATTCAGAAATAATTTGTGTCGTATATGCAAACTTTATTCTTTGTTTCTTTTTCGAACCAGAACCTTGAGGCGCCGTACAGACTCGACGAAGGAGCTGCAGCAAAAAACAAAGCAAACATCAGAGAGAATAAATTAGAATTTAGCCATTTGCTGTCTTTTTCCCCTGAAAAAGAGAGTGAATGGAACTTAAGAACGCACTTCCATGGAAGATCCTCTGCAAGAAGCCAGTCCCCATCTTCGTCTTCATAGATCAGAGTAAAATCCCAACACTTGTTATCAATTGCCTCATCTGTGACAGAAAGAATTCAAATTTATGGATAAATACTATGATTTTTCTGGTGGGGTTGATGGAATGAATGTGAAAAAGTGGATAATTTACAATTAGATGTGGTGAACATGGCGATGAGGGCAGTTTTGAGGGAGTTATGAGAGTGATAGAGCCTTAGATCGAGTTTCCTTGCTATTGCTACCCCCTCCATCTTCACTTTCACGAACAATGAATTTGGTCCGCCATTTTGGTTACTGCGATTCTCCACCGTCTGCGGCGGTTGAGGGTGCTGGAGAAGCGCCTTCTTCCTCCATGTCTCAATCGGTGGCCACCCGACTGATGGGTTCTTCTCTTCATCTTCTCTACATCATATGAAACTGTGACATAATTAATAACAGCAATTTAAAAGTATCATAAGAGTTGTATTAGTTTGGACTGACTTTTGAATGGTGGAAAAGTGTGTTCCTTCGGGGTGGGGAGAACCGTCATCATCCTTTGGCTTATCATTCCATGACAGCAGAGGCAAAGTTTGGGGCAGCTCATTCCCAATGCGTGGATGTTCAAAAGCATAGTTATGGAGGGGAAGGGAGAGGCCAAGTTGGAGCTCCATTTCAGTTTCAGGTTTTCAAGAGAAGCTTAAAGGAAGAGGCATAAGAAATGAGTGATATATATAGGGAAAACAAAAAGCAGGGGAGCAGGTTGAGTCAGGAAAAAGGATGGCAAATGTGATACACGGGCCGCGGGGCGTGTGCGGTTGGACCTGCCTGTCTCTGCTCATCTAATGTGACATCCCCCTCAATTCGTCAACGTAGAACACGAAATTGTAACGGCGCATATCCACCGCTAGCAGATATTGTTCTCTTTGAGCTTTCCCTTTCGAGCTTCCCCTCAAGGCTTTAAAACGCGTTTCCACTCCCTCATAAAGGGTGTTTTGTTCTTGTCCAACCAACGTGGGAACATCACAGAAATATTCTATATATGGGTGTAAAAATCTCTCCACAAATAGATGTTACAATAAATGATGTGCCAATAAGAATACTGGACCTTAAGGGAGATGGATGGATGGGTCGACTTCAAATGGAGAAAGGAATAAATGGTGCGAGATTCTACATGGATCGAGGAGGAAAACGAACATTCTTTTAGAAAGGTATTTGAAATGTATGAAAGAAAACAAGAAAAGCAAACAGGGGTGGTGTGAAATTGAATGAATGAAAGAATCCTAGTTTGATACTTGTTGTGGCAGTACAAATTCCCTATTCTGCAACGGCCTACCTCAAAAATGACTATATTAGGAAGAAGTACATGAATTTGAAGATGCATATGGGAGATGATAAGGAGGACACGTCAAGGGATGATGTGTCACGTGGCAGAAACAAAAGAAGCTAAAAGACAAAAGAGGAAAGAAGACCCATGCTTGTGAAGTCCACGTGAACACCATTGGGTAAGCATAGACTCATTCACAAGGGGTTTAGTGCTACTGCCTTTTTGTTTTTGGTTGGTCGGTTTGGAGTTTTAACTCCGCCATAGCCCCACGCCATGGCTTCCGACCCAATATGAGATCAAGTCACTGTCTTCTCTAACCTCCCCTGCCGCTGCAATATTCTCATTCGCCCCTACCTTCCCTATCTTAGTTGATATATATAGTGGGAAAACAAAAGCCCATACCTTAGACAGCCCCAAGTTGGGCCCAATAGCTCAAGGCACGCGCATGGCACGTGCGATAAAAATCCCAATCTGTTCTACAAATTTTGTGCAGCGTGTTGAATGTCGTCGATAGAACCTCCGATCGCCCCATTTCTCGATCTTCTATCCGATCAGATCCGCCATTGTGTAATCATGGCCTCCTCCCTTCCGCTATGGCTTGTGTAATCATGGCCTCCTCCCTTCCGCTTTCCATTTCCATCAAAACCCCCAAATTCTCCGTCCCCGAAACCCTAACCCTAACCCTAATCGCATCAATTCTCAGAAATCTGCCATGAAATCTCTCTCCCGTCGCCGAACAGATCGGTTAGGCTAGCTCTCGACAAAATCTACTTCTCCCCGCTCGGCGAGTTCAGGTTGCGGCCGTCATGTGGGCGACCAGGGCGGAGTTATGATCTTTTATCATTTTGTTTACATGAAAATTTTCATTTATTTATTAATAATAGGAGAAAATAACCAACCTGGAATTGGGCCGACATCGAGGCCCATATAGTTCAGTTAATGGGCTTTGTACAGCTACGACAGCCCAGCCCAGCCCATTTAAATCAGTAGCTTAAAAGTTGGAAGGCTTTTGTATTTAAATAATAATAATGATAATAAAGAACGAAAAAAAAGATGATGGGCAACAGCTAAGAAAAATAAAAGGTCCCTCCTCCTTTTCCTTTTCCTCTAAAGCTTTAGAGATTCAATCAAACAGCTCATTATTATATAGTGGAAAATCTATAACAAAGATTTATTTATTTTTAACTTATTCTTTACCAAAAATAAAATAAAATAATAATAATTTAAAATTTAAAATAATGTAAGTGTGGGCGATCATAAGCTATAAAGTTCACTTAAATTATTAGTTCGAGTTAGGTTTCTCAGATGTGACTCTCTAAAGATATCCACTCATCATATTTCCTTTTTAATTTCTTTCCTCACCTCTCCACCTTCCCTTCTATTAAATTAATATAACTAAGAAAAAAAATTATTTAAACATTTTAAAAAATTAACATTAACTAATTTATTATTTTTATTTTACATAATTTATAAATTGACAAAACACGTGGAGCCCACAAAATATAATAATAAAGATCATCATTTTCGCTACGCCACTACTCTATTAGTTGAGTTGTTCGTAGGGTCAACAGTTTGTGACAATCTTACTTTTTTATTTTTTATTTATCGTTAAAGTAGAGAATTATTATGAATTAAGTTATAATGGGATTATTAGTTACCATTATTTGAATCTTAATTGGATTAAAATTTTATTGTGATTGGATTCACGTGCAAGTGTGTGATGTGAAAGAGGTGAAAAAAATAATTAAAAGAAAAAAAAAAAAAAAAAGACGGCCGTGTGGTGAAATTTACTGTTTAGTTTATTTACCAAAGGTAAAAAGGCGTTTGACTTGGGGAAAAAGGTAAAGATATTGGAGAATGAAAATGGACGGTTAGGATTGAAGCCAAAAAGGAGTTGGAGGAAATCTGGAGGGTTGAAAATAAGCGGGATGTTGTAATCTGAGAGATGTGAAAGCTGGTCTTTAATGATCATGTTATCATGTTTCTGTGTTAGTTCCCTCTCGCGTGCCCTTCTACAGTTCTTTTTCTGTACATTATTTTTCTTTTTCTTTTTTTATTTAAAATAAATAAATTCTCATCTTCCAATCCAGGCCCCACCTTTATTGTTTTTTTTTTTTTTAATTTTTTTATAAATAATATTGAATATGGTTTAATGAGTAAGGGATTTTGTTTTTATTTCACGCCCATTTGTAAATATAATATTGGGAAAAATCTGATTTAAATAAATTATTATTATTTTTTTATATAGATGGAGACAAAATTTAAAAATATAAAATAAAAAAAAGGTTGTTATTGAAATGGAAAAGGAAGTATATAATATAGACAAAATTGAATATAACACATTTAATATAAAAAGTT